ACTCTAGAAACGAACGTACCCTTAAATTACGCGCAACTTGTGATTCTCAGTGAGCTACGTCGTAGATTTCAATAAATTCCGTAAATAAATCGATAAAATACGTGTGTTCCGTGGGTGATATTATCCGACGTGTGAATCTTCGCGATTTCGTCTTCCGATTACGTCATCTTCGCCATTTCGTCTTCCGATTACGTCATCTTTTTAGAATTTCTTATAAAGTCTCTGAATTCGCGTTCTGATTATGAGTTGCTCACATTTAATCATTTCTATCGATAATATGTCGAATATAAGTGACTCTCGTGTCTTTCCTCTTATTAGATATGCGACGTTATGAATATGTGTATATGCGTATACGTGTATCTGCGTCTGTGTGCGTCTGTGTGGTCTGTGTGCGTCTGTGTACAATTCGTATATTCGGAAATTCGCAAGAAATGTGTATTTTCGTGGTAAAAACTGTCTCCAACGCGTATATCGACGCGATGTTTCGATCTTCACATAAATCCTGTACTCAGATATGCACTTACCGATATAACAATATAGTAAAATGTTGTACGTGCCATATTGAAATCGATCAGCCTTTCGATCGAACGTTTGTCAGCCATCTTTGCACATCACTCGTTACACTGACGAAAGTGTCGCCGACAACGAATATCACTCCGCGCCTTTTTATCTCACGTTGCGATTCTAAAACCGAACGTTCGCTTAAATTACGTGCAACTTGTGATTTTCAGTGAGCTACGTCCTAGATTTCAATAAATTCCGTAAATAAATCGATAAAATACGTGTGTTCCGTGGGTGATATTATCCGACGTGAGAATCTTCGCGATTTCGTCTTTCGATTACGTCATCTTTTTAGAATTTCTTATAAAGTCTCTGAGTTCGCGTTCTAATTATTAGTTGCTCACATTTAATTATTTCTATCGATAATATGTCGAATATAGGTGGCACCCGCGTCTTTTCTCTTATTCGATATGCGACGTTATGCGTATGCGTATACGTGTATCTGCGCCTGTGTACGGCTGTGTGCATCTGTGTGCCCTGTGTGCGTCTGTGTACAATTCGTATATTCGGAAATTCGCAAGAAATGTGTATTTTCGTGGTAGAAAGTGTCTCCAACGCGTATTTCGACGTGATGTTTCGATCTCCACATAAGCCGAATACGCAGGTAAGCACTTATCGATATAACAATATAGCAAGATGTGCTACTTGCCATATTGAAATCGATCAGCCTTTCGATCGAACGTTTGTCAGCCATCTTTGCACATTACGCGTTACACTAACGAAACTGTCGCCAGTAACGAATATCACTGCGCGTCTTTATATCTCACGTCGCGATTATAAAAACGAACATACTCTCAAATTACGTGCAACTTGTGTATATCGCGAAGTTCGTAGGAAACGTGCAAGCAAAATACTGCGATAGAATTTTTCGATAGTATACAAGTAGTCGGAACGAGTCGAGGAAACGAAAAGGTTGGAAAGTCATCGCGAGACAAACAGAGAGAACGTATTCAATTTCGATGGTCGCCGTTCAGCCCGGGGGCATTTGCCGGAAGAACCAACGGCCAGGTTCGCGCCATGAATTTGTAAGGCTGTTTGCTCGCGCGTAATTGCCGAACTTTCCGCGAAGACGTTCGCTCGTCCGTGGAACTTTCTCGATTCGTAAATCACCGTTGGCCGTGGAACTCACTCGGAAAAATTCGTCGGCGGCAACCGTCCCTCGTCTATTCGCTCGCTTCAACGCTTCATCTCTCTCGCTCTCTCGCGCGCTCAATCGCCTGCTCTCTCTCTCTCTCCCTCCCTCCTTTTCTATACTTTTGCCCTTTCTTTTCTCCCTCGCCGTAGAAAGGCAACCTCGAAACGAGAACGAACGCAGCGTCGCGAGGTCTCGACTGCAGCCGACCTTCGCGACGCT